TAATCTTTTCCTGTTAAATCAATAAATCAAATCAAATCAAGTCTGGCTTCAGTAAAAAAATGTGTTCATTTTAGCAAACATCAGAACCATAATTAGACTAGACCATCAGTGTAACATTTACACAGCTGCTGGTTCTATCGGAGTGTTATTAAAACTATTCCTGGTCAAACTTTAAAAGCTGATCATTTCACTTTCATTGTTTCCAAACATAACAAAAAAAACCTTTAATCACCATGTAGTGAATAATCAGCTGATATATGTGTTTTACATACAAAATAATGACCCAGCATGTTTTAAACTCACCAGAGGCTGTGCAGGTAGAGAAGCTGCAGGTAACAACAACTTGAAGCCAGAGTCTCTTAAACATGTCCAGGAGCTCACATCATCATTTTGAATTCAACTTGAATGGCGGAGGTTTAGCTAGCACTAGTTAACAGCCAACAAGATGAAACATGTCAGCTGAGCTTCAAAATCTTACACTTAAAAGAGGATGGGTTGTGCCACCTGTACACATTTCCTAAGAAATGCACCGTTACTTATTTGCAAGTTCACACAAGTTTTATGGTTGCTTTGTGTACCCCTTCTACACAGGTCAACCGAAATAAAAACTGTGGGGAAAAAAAAACACACAACCTCATTTGAACACTAATTTGTAAGGAAAACTCACCTAAATCTGTTGACAAGTAAACTCTTGATTGTTCGCAGGCTGGAGAGCAGTCTGGACTTGTCTGTTGGTGAGCTGAACTGACCGAACTGAGTGTCAAACAATCGGTAAAGATCACAAGATCAGAGGAAGGATTTTAATTAAAGTATTGTGTACATTTTATACATATCCTGTTATTGTAAATAAGCACACAGAACAGAGAACTCACCCTAAGGATGGATTGTATGGTCTGCAGAGGATACGTTACAGTGGTGGCAACGGCTTTGGCAACAGCACCGATCACAAAGACCTCCAGTGATGACAGCTTAGGGAAGGAGGCAAAAACAACAAATCATCCTTTTTTTTATCATCCTCATCGTCAACATGTCAGAAAAAACAGAGTCTGAAACAGAGCTGCCACACAAGAAGGCCTAACCTCCAGCCTCTACTCACAATTACATGTGTTCATCTGGATAATGTCCGAATACAACCACCAGTTTCTGTCCCGCTCACCTCCCTGGGAACTCCTCTCATCAGCTGCCTCTTCAGGCCTTCGTAAATCATGAACTGGACGGCGGGGTTCAGCACCAGCAGCAGAGACGGGACGGTCCCGTTCCACAGGGCTCCGATGCCCTCCTGATGACTGATCTGTACGAGTGCGTCTGCAAAAACAACAGGGGAGGCACGCAAACACCAAGTGAATGAATAAATAGTAATAGAGAAAAAAGAAGATGCAATAAAAAAAGGGAATTTACCCAGAATGCCAGAGTAGTTGGTGGGCCGAATGTCTGGGTTGTGAAACTTGGAGCCCTGGAGCTTCAGTCTGGTGTTGACCACCCACAGAGGAGTGGTAATCAATACGTTTACAACACCTGGAGAGACCAGGAGGCTGGTGAGCGTCAAACACTGACTGAGATGCATGATGATAATGTATWGACACGTCAGCTATAAAAACAAATGTAGAGCACACGGCTACACTTTTGTTCTGATTCAGTAAAACGAGGCATTTATGAGAATACGAGTAACGATGGTCTCACCTGCAGCGATGCCTATCATTAAGTCGGTGCTGGGAGTTGATGGTTTTCCCTTCAGTAAGCTGGCCTTGATGCTGTGAAAACAGTAGAAGTAAACAAAGTTCGAGCAGCAAAGACTGCAGATGACAGGGAACCAGCCTCTGTATGGAGAGAGTCTGTAGGAAGACAGAAGGGACAATCTCAATTTAAGATGGCTAAGTAATCTTAGCAAAGACAAATCTGGCTAAAACTCAGTAGCATGGGACAAACTTTGCTCAAGCATTAAAATCATCCTTCAAACCTCTTCRATTGACTTAATTTTACTCACAATCCTTCTTCTTTGACAATGTCCACCAGAATCGCAGGAGTTGATTTGGATTTCCTGTTTTCATCCACTGAACACAATCAGAATACACAAGTTTTAATCCACTGCTTGCATTTTACAAATAACTATGGTCTATCTGCAGGCATGTTATGTCTTACCCTGAAGCCGCAATCTGGCTGTGTCAAGAGGGAAGAAAACTGTCATTGCAGTCACACTTCCCTAAAAACAGATTGAAGACACAATTCAGGGGAAAGACAACATGTGTTGAGTTTCTAATGTTTCTATGCAAAACGCCGTTGGCAAGTCATAAATAGAGCTCATAAATATATTTATATATAATAAAATTGGCATGTTTAGTAAAAGAAATTATATATCAGCTGGTAGCTACGGGTCTAAGAATTAAAACAAAGCCTTCAGCTTTAATTACAACAGCATAAATCACAGATAGTAGCTGGATAATACATTAAAAACTAGCTTACCATTGCTCCCGCCACAGCGTGAACCAGACTCTCATAAGAAAAAACCTCGAAGTTCATTGTTGCAACATCTATTTTATTTTCTTACTCCCAAAATGTTATTCAACATATATACATTATTTTAAAAAAAACCTGGTAGCCGGACAGCTGTCAACCCCTCGCCCTTTTTGACACCTCACTTCCGGGTATCTAGCTTACACGGTGGCATTCTGGGTACTGTAGTTTCGTCAACAAACACTACAGCAGAAGCACAAACTCAATTTAATTTTCTGTTCAGCAAAACAAGAACATTGCTTTTTAACYTATTATATACCTCTTATGCTGTATTGTCCACAAAACAAGTTTGACTAACATATAAATAAACAAATTAAATATATTAATTTTACAGTTATTGCAATACATACCTGTAGGTACAGCTACATGAGTGAATACAGCTGCCATCTCTTAAGTAGGAAGCATTATACGCAAATTATCTGCACAAGTTTATCATAAAAACATATTTTACTGGTTTAGGGGTAACTGCAGCTAAAAGATAAAAAAAAATACACATTGAAAATTCTTATAAGCAGGAACAGTTTAAATCCAGTCTCCGAGTAGTTTACATGATCATGAGCAAGGACCTTAACATCTGTGGATTTCTTAGGGTACTTAAATTTATTTATTTATTTATTTTTTGAACTGCATAAGGAAGATTACAGTTTTATCATTTTAAAGACGTATAAAACAATTTTACATGCATTTTATKAATTCCAACTTTCTTATGAGAAAATAGGAACACGGTTTTACCTTGCTTATGAGAAATAAGCAAAATCAGAATGAAAAAAACTCATCAGTGTATTGGGAGCACGCTTAACATGCAAAAATAAATCAAAACAAATAACAGAAAATCCTCCATCAGTCTCCAGCCCATTCACTCAGCCACTCCTGGCAAACCCTCCTCTGCTCCTCGCTCTCCTCCTGAARCCTCAGATGTTTGCTTTGCTTCCTCCTCTTCTCCTCCTCCCTTCGTTCTCCCTCCTGCTCTTTCTCTTTACTCTTTCTGTGCTCAAGCAAGGCTTCAACGGTGGCTGCTGATGTCCGTAGCGATCGCTGCGGGACCCATTTAGGATCCACCTCTGGGAGAAAGGGGTCTTCGGCCGTGACTAGTAGGTGGGGCTGGGGCTCCAGGGGAATGTGAAGGAGGTAGGCGTGCAGCATCATTCGGTATGGAGAGTCATCTGCTCCGAGGCTGTAGGTGAAGTCTCCAACTATAGGGTGGCCAATGGCGCTGCAGTGGACCCTCAACTGGTGGGTTCGGCCTGAGACAAAAAGATAAGGAGTTGGACAGCTGTAACAGCCTTACACGCCTTTATTTCTTCCCTTGACTGGAAACAAATGAGTGCAGTCACCAGTGAGAGGCTGCAGCAGCACTTTGGTGACAGGATCTCCATCATACAACCCGTACTCCAACACCGTCAGCTCAGTCTGGCACGGCTTTGGGTTCTCACAACCTGATAGGATAATAATGAAAAACTTAAACAACGTTTCAAGTTCTTAAAGGCTTTTAATGATAGATACAAATACTTTACCACAGACAAAATATATTGCACTTAGAATTTAACTATTATTCATTTCCAGGCTGAGCCATCTTGGTTCCTGTACCTTCTGTTCCTTCGATGCACATCATGTGTGTTTTCCCCTGTGTTGAGTTCTTGCCAATAGAGAAGTCCAGAGTTTGGGTCTCTAGTTCAACCCATCCACGAAGCTGCCACGCAAAACATACAAAATTAGCTCATCTTTATCAGGTGTAGGTTGCAATGACGTTCTGAGATCTCAAATCAAGAACTACAAAAAAAACCCACTTTGCTCTTTTCTGGTTTGTTGGCRACAATTATTTAAATTTTCAGATTATTAGGCAGTTGCTGAGAGGAGGTTATGGCTGCTATAAATATTCTACGTGGGATTTGACATTTTCTTGCAATGRTTTATGATAATGAGTGTGTTGCATGCTTGGGTCATTTGTCTGTTTGTTTTTTCTAACCAGGGAGAGGTAAGCTTTAGTGACAGTGCGGTCCTTGAAGCAGCGATAAGCCYGGCCAGCAGCAGCTTTGTTGAGGGCGACACAAAGAGCTCCACTGGTGGAGAAATCCAGTTGATGACAGAACCTTAAGAAAAGCAGAGCGATGCAAGAACAGCTTTTTATCCRAACAATTTGTTCCAACAGAGAAATAAATGCGATTTCTAACCTGAACCCGTAATAGGTGCTGGGGTCTGCCAGATGAGGGAAGTGGTGCTGAAGCTGCATCTGCACAGTCTGTTTCTCGTACCACATCTTGCTGTCGATGCGGATGTCCCAGTGTTTGTCCACTACGATGAAGTCATCACTCTGGTGCAGCACACGCAGGCTGTCGATGCTCGCAGGCTCTGTGCTCATCGTGAGCAGGTATCAACAGGCAGCTCACAGCCCTGCAGGGAGAAAAAAAAACTCATAACTGAGGATTTAAACGCAACAGAAAATACAATTAGGTCCTAATATTTATGTAATCTCACAACAGAGGTGTTAGGTTTATTTATGTCATTTTTATTACAGATATATTAGATATCTAGTTTCCCAAAGTAAACACTGCTTGGAACCAAAAAGAAAAAAATTGTATAGGTCTTCTGGACGGATTCTTCTTTAATGAAACGTTTCGTCTCTYCTCCAAGAGACTTCTTCAGTCTGAGAGTTTCAGGCAAAATTCAGGCTTTTAAGCCCTGCCTTCCTCCTACAGTGCTGCTATTGCCAGTATCACTCCACCCCCTGTTAACAATAGGTGTTAATTAGGTGTCAACGATAGCCATGTGATGTATCAGTCACATGGAGGCAGGGCTTAAAAGCCTGAATTTTGCCTGAAACTCTCAGACTGAAGAAGTCTCTTGGAGGAGAGACGAAACGTTTCAATAGAGAAGAACCCGTCCAGAAGACCTATACAATTTTTTTCTTTTTGATTTTTTACCTGGATTACTGAGATGCATCAGAACAGTTTGGAACCTACTGTTTTTAATATCAGAATTTATARTAATACAGACTTGTGACAAACATTACTTAGTAAAATGTGACAAAAGTGGTTGTGATGTTTGTTAATCATTTATTGTTGAGTTCTGTGTGAAAAGAGGCAARGTTAGGTTATAACTTCCGGTTAGCTTAGCATCAACGTTATTTCGCCAGCTGCTGAAAACATAAATTTGTTAAATTTAATGCCACAATTTTACATAAAATAACCTAATATCAGCTACATAAAAATGACCACGGTCACTTACTTCAACTAGTAAACAAAATCCTGCGATAACATTACTCCATAAACTGTAAACAAAAAAAAAAAAAAATCGTCAGAAAAACTGCTTCTGCGCATGCGCAAATTTTGGAGTTATTGTGAACTTGGTTCATACCGCCACCAACAGGCGAGGAGGGCAGAAGCTTAAAACTGAGGCTGTGTCCAAAACAGTGGGCCCTCACTTTTGTCACCAGATAATTTTTTGATAATTTCTCTGCTGCAAAATAAGTTRTGACCGAAAATACTCCAAGTTTTTTGGAACGATGAAATATTTTATCTAGTCTAACATCTGTGAAGGAGGTGAAGAAGATRTGACAGAYATATTGGTRCTTTTGCTGTYTTACTRTTTAAATTTCCTCTAACCACAATTAAACTATGTATATACAAAACAACAGAGCAATTTTGAAATCTAAATGGGTGCTAATAAAATAAGAATAATAAACCAGATAATTTAAAAAGACTATCAGCCATTAAATAGCTTGATTTGTTCTTTTTTATTGATAGGCTGATTACAGAAAATAAGCTGCAGCATTTTGTAAATCTACTAACATTTCTACTTTTCTGCTTGTCTTATTTACCAACAYACAATCCTGTTTTATACAAAAGGAACAGCATCAAATAAACTAAAAAATTATTTTTTTTTCAGTCCAATGGGTCATCAGTAACGTAGTGACATCATTGTCAATTAAAATATATTAACAAGGTTATCTAATGGTCTAAAAGAAGTTAAATATGCTGAACTAATCAGTTTCAGACAGTTGGGATTATTTGCACTCATATCCACCTGGTTCCTATAATCTGCAGGAAAAAAAATACCATTTCAATGTCAAGCTGTGATCTCGTCATGTGGTGCAAAAATGAAATATTTAATGATTTAACTGTCAGGAGCAGACGGTTCTGAAACAAATCCCTTCATCATGGCAGGTATGTCTGTGATGATTAAGAATTATTATGTAAGTTACATTTCATAACACTKTGAGTTTGCTTCAGTACATCAGGTGTCATCTCTTTCTCCTTGGTTACTGTTGCGTAACAATCCAGCCTTTAGGGTGGCAGATTTTTGTGTTGAAAAACACGTGTGCTTGTGAGAAGGTGCACCTGACACAGACGGCAGCTGTGGAAACCCTAAATGTTGCAGCCAAACAATAAAAAGGAGAGGAKGAGGAGGAGAGTGGCTGTAGACTGACTGCTGCTGCTGAAGGAGACGGATCAGCTAAAGAAGGATCGATTTTTACTTTTTATTCTAATACTGGATATTTGTTACAAATACTGTTACAACTTKTTCCTTTCTGAAGAGACAGCTGAGTGATCTAGCTGTATGGTTTGGAGACCTACTTTTTTACTTTTATTGGATGTTTTAAAGCCTTTGAAGTCTTGGTTTTGAGCTGGAACCTGCCTGATGAAGGAGCCTTCAACAGCACACATTTATCAAAGTTTCTCACCAGCTTTTTTTCTCTGTTCTTAGTGACTGCAGGCTGCGTGGCTCGAACATAAAAGCCTTACATCACTTCCACTACAGCAGTATTTGTTGCTAATTAAGGCCGATTTCCTTCAACCATGCCCAACAAGTCGTTTCTGCAGGCTCGCTGTGATGAGCCCATATTTACATCCGACTGGGGCGTCCCTCTGCTGCTCGCTCTGCTGCTGCTGCTGCTCATCTACTCCTTCCTGTACCTTCCTGCCACCACCCAGAGAGCCCTGCTGGAGCAGGCTCTGAGCAGCAACAACACCACCACYGCTGCTGCTGCTGCTGTGACGCAGAAATGAGCTGAAGCAATGGACAAAAACATGTCATTYATCAGGAGACCAACAGAACCATCTTCCTTGGAAACAAAAACAAAATCACATTGGCTCCACTTAAAAAAACAAACGAGGTCACAGTTATTGAGTTTGTTCAGTTTGATGCAACCAAAATCATTTAGTTTGACTTCTGAAATCTTTTGTTCATATTAAGCCATCCAATTTCTTAATTTAAGCTGAATTTTATTATGTGTTTTTTTAAGTTGAAACAACTTGTTTTACTTTAAATGGAATAAATACCTCAAGTGATTTAGGTTTTGTTCTCTGTTCATTGCAACATAACAGAGAACATGAATCAAAAAGGTTTTCCATTACAGGTTTTGTATGTTTCAAGCACAAATGAAGCATAACAGTTTTTAACAGTTGGTCCATCCATGATTAAATCATCTCCTGCCTCATGAGGTTTGGGTTATGCAGGTACGGGTACGATTCAGGATCTCCCAGGAGGAGCTGAATGGACTTGTTGGGTCTGCTGTCATGGTTGTATGAGGGTTTGGACCCAGGAATGCAGACCGGCACAAGAGGATTTTGTTTTTTAACAAAATAAAAGCTGATGTGACAGGTGGGGACAAAAAGCAACCTTACAGCAACACAAAGAATATCGTGGAGATGATTGTGGAGTTCAGGAAGGGAGGAACAGAGGTGGAAAYGGTGTCCAGCTTCAGGTACCTGAACCTGACCTGGAGTAACAACACTTCCAGCCTGGTGAAAAAGACACACCAGCGTCTTTTTGTCCTCAGACAGCTGAGTTCACACTGAGCTCCAGAATCACCTTCTGGCACGGCAGAAGATGGCCCTGCAGAGCGTGGTGACAGCTGCACAGAGAACTGGAGGCAGATGCAGAAGAAGGGCCTCCTGCAACATGAAAG